CACACACACACACACACACACACACACATCTGAAAGCCCGGATTGGTCACAGTGCGGCTCATTTGCATGCCTCGCCATATAAACCCCCCCTGCAGACACTGCAGCCCGCTTCCACTGACAGAGCAGCACATCTCTGAGACAACGAGCTGAGCGCATCCACAGTGCGCACTAACAGACATATGGATCATTTATCAGAGGCTTTGTGCTGAAAAACTGACTGAAGAGCGGCGAGGACACCTTTTCCCAGCTGCGACTTGTTTAAACTCCAATTTGGACTCAGTGAGGACAGTTTTTATTCTTACTATTGTTTTATTTTTGCTTAATTAGTGAAGATGGAGGAAAGAGGTGGGAGCGGGTTGTTGGCGCTTCTGTGCGTCTTTTTGGTGACTTTGGCTGCCGTCGCTGAAGGAAAAACGGTGAAATATCAGACGTTTGAGGAGGACGCGCCGGGCACGGTGATCGGAAACTTGGCCAGGGACATGTCCTCCGCGTCCAGGAACAGCTTCAGGATGATGAAACAGTTCAACTCGTCCTTCATCCGTCTGCGGGAGAGCGACGGGCAGCTGAGCATCGGGGAGCGGATCGACCGGGAGCGGATCTGCCGGCACACCCTGCACTGCCTCATCGCCTTCGACGTGGTCAGCTTCTCCAAAGAGCAGTTCAAGCTGATCCACGTGGAGGTGGAGGTCAAGGACATCAACGACAACTCCCCGGAGTTCCCGCGGAGGGAGTCCAGCCTGGAGATCTCGGAGAACACGGCGGTGGGCACGCGCGTCCCGCTGGACTTCGCCGTGGACGAGGACGTGGGGCTGAACTACATCCAGAGTTACCAGATCTCCGTGAACAGCCACTTCTCGATTGACGTGCTGAGCAGGGCGGACGGGGTTAAATATGCGGAGCTGGTGCTCATGAAGGAGCTGGACCGCGAGACGCAGGGCTCTTACGCGCTGGAGCTGGTGGCCATGGACGGCGGGAACCCGTCCCGCAGCGGAACGACCCGCATCAACGTGAAGGTGAAGGACTACAACGACAACAGCCCGGTGTTCGACAGGAACAGCTTCACCGTGGAGCTGCCCGAGGACGCGCCGCCGGGCTCCCTCCTCCTGGACCTGAACGCGGAGGACCCGGACGAGGGTCTGAACGGTGAGGTGGTGTACGGGTTCGGGAACCAGGTGCCCCCTGAGATCCGACACCTGTTCAGGGTGGACAGGAAGACCGGGCGGCTCACCCTGGAGAGCCCGGTGGACTTCGAAACCAAAAATACTTACGAGTTCGACGTCCAGGCCACGGACCTGGGTCCGAACCCGAGCCCGGCCATCTGTAAAATCGTCGTGCAGGTGCAGGACGTGAACGACAACGCGCCAGAGATCTCCATCACCCCCATGACGTCCATCACAGCCGGGATCGCGTACATCACCGAGGCCGCGGCCAGGGAGAGCTTCGTGGCTCTGGTCAGCACCTCGGACAGAGACTCGGGGGCGAACGGGCAGGTTCACTGCACCCTGTACGGACACGACCACTTCCGGCTGCAGCAGGCCTACGAGGACAGCTTCATGATCGTCAGCACCAACCCTCTGGACCGGGAGAAGATCCCCGAGTACAACCTGACGGTGGTGGCGGAGGACCTGGGCTCCCCCCCGTTCAGAACCATCACCCAGTACACGATCAGGCTGACGGATGAGAACGATAACGCCCCGCTGTTCAGTAAGCCTGTGTATGAGGTGGCCGTGGTGGAGAACAATGCGCCCGGAGCCTACATCACCACGGTGGTGGCGCGAGACCTGGACATGGGCTCAAACGGGAAGGTCACCTACAAACTGGCGGACACGTACCTGATGGGCTCTCCCATCTCCACCTTCGTGTCTCTGGACCCGGCCAGCGGGTCCCTCTACGCGCTCCGGAGTTTCAACTTTGAGGTGATGAAGCAGCTGGAGCTGCGGATCACGGCCAGCGACGGCGGCTCGCCCCCGCTGACCGGCAGCGCGAACGTTTACGTGCGCGTCGTGGATCAGAACGACAACGCGCCGGTCATCAGCCACCCCGCGCTGCACAACGGCTCCGCGGAGGTGCTCCTGCCCCGGGACGCGCCCTCCGGCTACGTGGTCACCCGGGTGGAGGCGCGCGACGCGGACGAGGGCGTGAACGCGGAGCTGACCTTCGGGCTGGCCACCGGGGAGCCCACGGTGTTCTCCGTGAACCGAGCCACGGGGGAGATCTACCTGAACCGGGTGCTGAGCCACGACGTGGACGAGACCCTGAGCGTCACGGTGACGGTGAGCGACAGCGGGCGGCCCGCGCTCACCTCCACGGCCACGCTGCACTTCCTCATCATCGCGGGACCCCCGCCGAGCGACCGGACCGTCTACCAGCCGGACGCCGGGGACGACGCGCTCGCGCAGTGGGACCTGTCCGTGGTGATCATCGTGGTGCTCGCGGGCAGCTGCACGCTCCTGCTGCTCGCCATCATCCTCATCGCCACCACCTGCAACCGGCGCAAGCGCGACAAGAGCGGAGAGGACAGCGACTCGTACGGCGGGGAGAAGGGCACGCTGGAGCGCGCCAGGAACCACGCGGGGGACAACCCGCTGCTGCCCCTCCACGGGGCCGCGGGGGGAGAGGTCTTTGAGGGGCACTCCTACAGCAGTCAGCCCGGAGGATTCACCCCGGCTCACCCCGGAGGCAGCGACATGTGCTCAGCCTCAGAGGACGGCAGCGAGGTGCCCTGTGTGTACGAGTCAGACAGCAACAGCAAACTGCGAGGGAACAAACATGAGGTGAGGCTCTGGGTCTCAGGTGTGTGTGTGTGTGTGTGTGTGTGTGTGTGTGTGTGTGTGTGTGTGTGTG